GCAGTTAGTAATGTTTATAATATGTAAAACAAAAATGTTGACATCTGTAGACATCTGAGAATTGACATGTTTTTTTCTTGTAACATCAAAAATCAAGGCTGAAGATGCTATTGATCATTTTTGCACCAATATAAAATTCCATCATGCAGATAAAACCCCATTCATATGCAATTCGTGGAACTATTTTCTTAGATTTTAGTCATAATGCAAAACAAAGATTTCTCTAATTTTGATTTATATCATTAATATTTTAAAWATCCTCTTTCTTTAATCATTAGCAGGACATTTCTGCAATAAATTTCCAAATGATCATCAAACATTTTGGGCATTACTTTGTGTGTTTTGGAGTGAAACCATCTTTCTGATTATAAACAGTTTCTTTGAYGACTCAGTCAGATGATCCGTCTTATCCCGGTTCACTTCTTCTCCCGCCACTGCAGAGGARCAGCGTTCAGGAGATGCTGCTGTGAGGCCGGCCCTCCCTAATGTCTCCGTTGCCTGCACCTGACCCTGCAAGCCAGCAGTGGCCAAATTTAGTTTGGAAACGTGCCACCATGGGAGACCCGACAGGCCCATTAATCAGCAGGAGTCTCCCCCCTGCTCATCCTGCAGGTCAAAGAGGGAGCAGCACACACACACACACACAAACACAAGTGCGCACTAACTCCTCCCACACACCTATGAAACTGACATGGATGCTTCTTCTCACCCCGTACACTACTTATCCAAAATCCTCCATCATCTCACTTACACACACACACACACACACACACAGACACCACACACACACACTCAGACACCTGGCCACGAGCCTTTATCACTCCCCATCTGAACTAGGCTCACATCCCAGATCTCTTCTCCCCATCTGAGCAGCCCTATGGTTATGGGAGATATCCACACACACACACACACACACACACACACACACACAAATCACACACACTGTGACCCTTTGCTCACTGCAAGAGTTAAAGAGAGGACACTCAAAACCATCACACAAACAAGCCTAGACACACAACTCTTAATGACCCTCAAAGAATAAAGATGAAAAACTCCTGGACACACAGGCGATCTGCAAAATATGATAGAGTGTGTTAGATCAAAGCGAGAGAAACCATAGTTTTGTAAGACCAGGGTGAGYGTGAACTTAGAAGAAAACCCAACAGAATGTACTGTATGTGCTGCAATTTGAAGATGACATTTATTATCATGTCTGAGATGAACTCAGACTGCTCTCACCTTTGGGAATATGCGCATAAAACCAGCAAAGGTAGCCAACATTTTCAATAYAACTGCTCAATTCACCTGCTTTATTGAAAGTGCTGCATCGTTCTGAGTAAAGCAACAGCTAATTGACTTGTAATCAGAACTACTTGGTTGYAATTAACACTCAGAGACAATGAGACCTCAGGATTTGCTACAAGTTGAAGGCACATTCTGGGGCGATCTCCCTGAGGTGTGAGTAGATGCTGGAAAGTAACAGCATCAGATAACTTGAACTCATTCACAGAAGTGCATTTCCTCTTTAATGTGAAGCTCTGCTGGGAGATGGATGGTGGGATTGGGCTAGATTAATGAACATTACCAAAGTCCCCAGATGTTTCTGTGGTAATTAGAGGCCTTTGTTTATCAGGAAAACAAGTCACATCAAGAGCAAAGCATTCATTATAATTTTTCATARTCTTAATAATTCAAGTGTAGCTGCTTCATTTTGTTCCCAATTTATCATGCTAATGTTCTGAATAAATCTACATAGCTAATTATTCCAATGCCTGTTGGATTGTCAAGCAACAGACTTTTTAGAGCTACAGCGGGTAAAATAAGTATTGAACACGTCACCATTTTTCTCAGTAAATATATTACTAGAGGTGCTAATGACATGAAATTTTCACCAGATGTCGGTAAC